AAATTAATTTTTTTTTTTGTTTTTTTTTTTTTTTTTTTTGAATGAGGAAGCCAGAAGAGCAGAATGAATGCATATTTAATCTTTTTTAAACAATTAACTTCTTTTTTTAGAGAATTTGAAAGACTAAAATATAGGAATATTGAAAGATTTTAATTTTTTTTAATTGAAATGAGGAAGCTAGAAGACCATATGGTGGAAGCCGGAAAGATAAAAATAATGCAGATTTAAAATTTTTTTTTTTGGTAATCATTGTCTTTAATGTTAGGCTTCCTCTTAAGTCTATAAAAAGAGATCATGGATGAGGAGAAAAAAGAGGAAGAGTGGAGAGTGGGGTCTTCTGTTGGAGAGATTTTTGAGAAGAAGAAAGTCCTCACCATCCTACCTAGCAGCCGATCAACGCGATCTTCTTTCACGGTACGACCAATTGGAAAGTCGTCTTCATCCTGCGTAATAGGCGAGCAAAGGGATATCCTTTCGTGTTGCGGCCGAGAGAAAAGTCTTCCTCGTCTTCCATAACATACAAGTAACGAGATCTTCTTTCGTGTTGCGACTAAGAGAAAAGTTGTCACCGTCATGCATAGCAGGTTAGCAATATTATATTCTTTTGTGTTGTGACTAAGAAGAAAGTTGACTCTATCCTGCATAACAAGCGAGCAACGAGATCTTCTTGCACGTTGTGGAGAAAAGGAAAGTCGTCCTCGTCTTGCATAACAGACGAGTAACATGATACTTTTTCATTTTACGACGCAAGTAATCCAAGTCCTGTGTAGCAGACGATCAACAAAATCCTCTTTCATGTTGCGATGCAGAAGAAAGTTGTTGTCGTTCTACGTAGCATAAGACCAACGAGATCTTTCTTTACATCAATGAGATGAAGAAAGTTATCTCCGTCCCTGTCCGACAGACGACTAGGGAACTTCTTGCTTGTTGCAACTGCACAATTCAGTGGAGATGAAAAAATGTTAGTTTTCTTGTCGGGCTTTGAGGATAAGGTTTTCATGCTTATGTAGTGGCGATATCTCTTGTAGCTTTTATACTAGTTCTTGTTGGTCTTTATAGTCTTTTTAATCGTCTTATGTTGCATTTGTAGATGATGATAATATATTTTTTTGTACTTTTTTTATGTTGCTTCTGAGATTATTGTGGCTTCTCAATCATACAAAATTTTATCACACACACTTTATAAAATGGAGAATCACATGCCTTCCAAGGTTATGCCCAGGCTTATGCCTTATAAGAGCTTGAAATGAACTTATACCTTTTGAGACTTGTAGCCTTATGAGATTTTTCATTTATTCGTGTCTTATGCGGCT